TGGCTTCATGCTTTCCTCTGTTACAGGTGGGGATGCTAAGGGCGCTGGGCAGTCCCAGGGCGATGGTGGCCACCCAGGGGCTGGGGACACTCGGAGGCATCAGAGGGGCCGTGCTGAACACCGGAGACACACCATCACCAACGGCGTGGACTTCAGCATGGTAAGGGGGCAGCCCTGTCGTGGGCTCTGGCACAGGGCTCCACGGTCAATGGGGTCCCTCACTGCTGACACCGGCTCTGTTTGGGCTGTGGGTCCCCCCTGCCCACCCTGCGGGTGTGAGCTGCAGGTTGGGCAGATCCTGGTATTTTGGATACGAAGCTCTGCTGATGTACATGGAGGTCCTGCTGGTGCTTCTGAGCTGCTTTCTGTCCCGAATCACGCCAGTCAAGGAGGAGACACGTGTTCCCCTGCCTTCCCATGGTGCGGGGTCAGGGTGCCTCCCACATGGGCAAAAACCTGGGCAGGGAAAGGCACACGGTTGGGTGTTGGAGCAGGAGGATCCCTGCACCTTTCAGACGCTCCAGTGAAGGTCTTTTTGCCAGCAGTGCAGAGAAATCAGCCTTGAATTTAACCGGGCAGCCCTGGATGGAGGGATCTGCTCCCCTCACTCTGTCCCTGAGTGGAGAGGCTTGGATGAAGGAATCTGTGCTGCTCCCAAGTGGGATGGAGCTGCTGCCTGGGCATGTTGCCCGTGAGCTCAAGCTAAATTTTCCTGGGAAGAGAGCCAGCACCCAGCCTGCAGGATGAGTGATCGGGGCGACGAGCTCTGGCCGCTGTCGGAGCAGCAGCCGCCACCTCTGCACTTCCACTTCTCACACCCTGGTGTCACCCGGCTCCCGAGCCCAGCAGGGCTGACTGGTGCAGCAGCATCGGTCAGGGGCTGTTCAGCCTGGAGGCTCCAGGGAGACCTTAAAGCACCTTCCAGGACCTGAAGAGGCTACAGGAAAGCTGGGGAGGGATTTTTTACAAGGACATGGAGTGATGGGACGAGGGGTGATGGTTTCAAACTGAAAGAGGGCAGATTTAGATGAGACATCAGGCAGAAATTCCTCTCTGTGAGGTGGTGAGGCCCTGGCCCAGGGTGCCCAGAGAAGCTGTGGGTGCCCCCTTCCTGGCAGTGCCCAAGGCCAGGTTGGACGGGGTTTGAGCAGCCTGGGCTGGTGGAGGTGTCCCTGCCCATGGGGGTTGGACTGGGTGGGCTTTAAAGGTCTCCTCAAAACCAAACCATGCTGTGACTACAGAATCACAAACTCATTGAATCATTAAGGTTGGAAGAGACCTCTAAGATCATCCCACCCCACCCCCACCCCGGCCACTGTTTTGGAGAGTGGAAGGTCCCTCCTGCCCTGTGTGTGCAGCTCCAGGCTGGAGCCTCTCGCTGCCGTGAGCCCAAGGGTCTGTTCCCGGGTCTGCCACACGCGCTCCTGCTCTGGGCTGATGCCTCCCCTTGCCCTGTGTTCTTGTGGGGGTGATGGTGGGGACATCCTCTGCCTTTCTGCCCCCCTCCCCATGTACCCGAGTGCTGCACTGCCCTTCGCGTGCTGCTCCCCCCAGATCAGGGCATCTGTCCCTGGCCCACAGATGGAACAACCCCCTGGCACCCCAGCAGTTTGAGTGCAGCAAGGACTGAACCCCTGAGCAGGATGGTGCTGTCACCTCCCCGCAGATGCTGGGAGGATGTCAGGCACAGAGGCATTAGCTGATTTGCCCAAAGCCCGGGGTGGGATGGGGACACTGGTACCCATCCTGCATCCCAGGGTGCATGAGGATGGGTTCATCCTGAGCAGTGAGGAGGAGCTGCGGGGGCTGCAGCCCCAGGACCCTGACACCACCACAGCTGGTGTCTGCTCAGCTGGTGTTTGTCAGCCAGCCCAGCATCGATCGGCCTCATTTCCCCATGGCCACAGGGGGAACTGGGCTGAGACCTCCTGGGAGAGGCTGAGCGCTTTGATATCTGCAGACAGCCATGGGGACAGCGCTGTCCCCTCCCCTCCTGCCCCCGGAACATCGCATCCTTGGTGAGATGCTGCCTGTGCCCGGCAGAGCCAGGGATGTCCCCTTGCTCTGTGGGATGCTGCCTCTTCCTCCGGTCGCTGTGCTGGCCAGCAAGCCTGGTGGGACAGGGGCAGGGACAGGCCAGGCGGCCATGGGCTGCAGCCCGAGCTGGGTGGGGGTCCTTGCCACCTACAGCACCTTCTTCGTGCCCCTCAGCAACAGCCTGCGGAGCACCAAGGCTCTGCGCTTCTTCCTGTGGGTACGTCCCCTTGGGTCTGTCCGTCTGTCTGTCCAAGTGTGCATGTGGGGGGGCTGTCATGGTGTGAGCGGCATTTCCAGCAGCCCTGGCATGGGACAGCGGGGAGGCTTCGGGGCTGGCAGTGGGGATGGGGAAGTGCTGGTGGCCGCGGTGTGGTCCCTGGGGGCTGGGATCTGTTCAGGGTCACTTCTGGGCTGAATTGTCCCCCTCCAGATGCTCTCCGAGGCAGCAGGAGAGGTTCCTGAGCATCTTGGGTGATTTAAGTCCCAACAGTGCCTCAAGGAGCCTGTCCTGGAGCTCGGTCTGTGCCATGGCGGTGGCAGAGAAGGCAGAGGCAGGAGGGCTGGCAGCTCCATGTACCTTCAGCATGGAAAGGGCCAGCGGGAGCCTGTGCTCCCCAGGTGAGGGCTGATGAAAGGGTCACTGCAGCCCAGGGATGTCCCCTCTTCTCTCACCTCCTCTGCGATTGCCGGTGGTAGCGCAGCGAGGAGGAGGTGGCAGCAGAGCAGGGGACCCCATGGGACCGGTGGCTGCTCCAACCCCGCTGCTGACGCAGGGGCTGAGCCACTGAGCCTTGGCTGGGCCGGACCTGGGGGCAGGAGCCCTGGGCACCCTTGTAGCAGCTCTTCAGGTGCATAAATGTCTCCACATCCCTCTTGATGCTGATGCTTGAACCTAAAAGCCTGGTGGAGGTGCTCAGCAGAAAGGCGTGCTAAGCTGTGCTGTGCTGTGCTGTGCTAAGCTGTGCTGTGCTGAGCTGTGCTGTGCTCGGCTCGGGGGGAGCAGAGCCCTGTGGAAATGGGGCTGCAGGTTTCCCTCCAGCCTCCAGTCTGGCCACTCACCAAAAACCTCTGTGTTTGTGCCCCTCGCTGATGGTCACAGCCTCGGGGCGATTTTGGGAGCAGCTGCACCCCTGGGTAAACAGGAGAAGCAGGAGGTGGAGGGGGCCTGGCTGTCCTTTGCCTGCTTTGGTTGCCCTCCCAAACCAGAGAACTCTTGATCCAAAGCAGCATCGGGCAGCAGCCAACATCCCACTCCTCTGCGGCTTTTCACGGGGAGAGGGGCTGAGACCCCTGCCCATATCCATATCCCTCCATCCCTCATGGAGAAACCATCTCCTGGGGCTTGCCAAGAGCTTGGGGAAGAGGTGACATCTCTCTGCGTGCTCTGTCCTGCAGCTGAAGCACATGAAGGAGCTGGAGCAGGAGAAGGATGTGCTGCTGCAGGGGCTGGAGCTGGTGGAGCGCGCCCGGGAGTGGTACCACCAGCACATCCAGTTCATGCAGGAACGCCAGAGGCTCCTGGGGAAGAACAAAACCAGTACTGTGAGTCTGGGGCTTGTTCTTGGGAGGGTCTGGGACTGCTCTGTGACTTTGGAGAACTTGGCAGGACCTGGAGCTGGCCCCATGGTAACTCCCAGCCTCTTCTTCCTCCCTGTCCCCCAGGAATTCCTCCCTGAGGGCAGCCAGAGCCACCTGGGACGCCTGGTCCCCAAGCTGCAGGAGGTGAACCGCTGCCTGGGTGACCTCCTTTCCAGCGCTGGCAAGGTGAGAGCAGCAGATTAACAGCCTGTGGTTGGTTGTGTGAGCTTGGGACCCATCCTGCGTCCCCCTCACACCAGAGCTGCCAGAGTTTACCTGGGCTTTGGGGAGGTCACTGGGCAATGTGGGCAAGGTAGGGGATGGAGGACAGCCAAGAGGACTGGCCTGGAGGATGCTCAAGGCATTTGGGGAGACTGAAGGAGATCCCCAAAAAGGTGTTGCCATTGTCAAGTGACCAAGCAAACCATGCTGCTGAGGTGCTGGGTCAGCCCTCTCGGAGCTGGCTGTCCTGCCACTGCTTCCCACCTCTGCCTGCCTCGCTGGAGACCCTGCAGAGGGTTGTGCTAAGGGATCCTAATCCTGTGCTGGGCTTCTCTCAGCTCCCCGTGGCTTCTGGCCTTGGGAAAGGCTGGCCATGGCTTTCCATGTCTCATCCCTTCCCTTCATCTCCTCTGCAGCCAGCGAACCCCTCCTCAGCTCTGAGCAGGCTGATCCCCGTGGCATCCTCAGCCCCAGCAGGCACCCAGCAAGCCATCAACATGCTGAAGGAGCAAAACCGGCTCCTCACCAAGGTGAGGGGGTTGGAATGGGAATACAGAATGGGAATACAGAAGGAATACAGTGGCAAATGTTCCTTGGGTGTCCAGCTGTTTGGTGGGTGAGGGTCTGTGGGCAGGGATGGGGCGTCCCATCTGGATGGGGGGACACAAATGCAGGTCAGGAGCTGGGGGCTGCTGGGGAAGGGGTACCTGGGATGCTCCTGCCAAAGCTGGGCTCACCACAGGCGTTCACACTCCAGCAAATGCCAGTGTTTTCCTCCTCTGAGCAGCCTTCTCCTCCTCTGTCCCTTGCAGGAGGTGACCGACAAGAGCGAGCGCATCACGCAGCTGGAGCAGGAGAAATCTGCCCTCATCAAGCAGCTCTTTGAGGCCCGTGCCCGCAATAACCATGAAACGAGCCAGCTGGACTCCACCTTCATCTAAATACCTGGGTCCCCATCCTCAAGCTTCCCCGGAGTTTCTGGGGGACTCTTGCCCCAAAACCTCTTGCACCCATTGCTCCAGCTGTTATAGCTTGAGATCTGGAGCTGCTGGTGGAGGAAGCTGGGAAGGAAGCATCCCCACGCTGCTCTGCTGCTGAGGTCCCCAGCCGTGCTGCTCCCAAGCTGCTCCTTTTCTGTCTCTAAGGGACTGCAGGGCTGCACCCCAGCCTCTCATCCCCCCTGGGGAGCAGCCGCTGCCTGTGCTGCCTGCATGGGGCGAGCTGCTGGATTTTGGCTGCTCTCAGAAGATCTTCACACTCCAGCCAGCATCTCCAGGCCTGAAGAGTGGCCTGTCCCTGCTTGTCCTGCTGTCAGAGGACAAGACAAGTTCCAGTGGGATGTGCCTGGCCCCTCTCTGCCTGCCAGTGGCTCTATACTGGGCCAGAGCAGTGTCCAAACTGGTGCTCCTCCTGGGGGAATCTCTCTTTCCAGTTTGTGGTAGTGATGCCATAGTCGCTGTTTACACGTCTGCAGGCTCCGTAGTTAATGAGCCCGAGACCCAAACGAGTTATCCCGTCCCTCTGAGCTGCTGATCCAGGCTGTCTGCAGGTGGGACAGACAGACACCTCTGTGTCCCTTCACTGGGCTTGGCCTGGAAATGGTTCCTTACGTTTCCTGGTCTTTTCCATGATGCCTTTAGAAGGAGAGGTGATGTCCTACAGCACAAGGATGCTGACACCAGCCTGACTTCACAGAGGGGCTTTAGGACAACGTTTTGTATTTAACTGGACATGGGTGATGGAGCAGAGGCTGATGGGCTCTTTCCTTTGCACATCTCCAAGTGGAGAAACGGCAGCTTTGGCCCGGTGGTGACATCCTGAGTGGGACCTGCACCACTCCCCAGGTCTCTTGGAGGGCTGGTGGTGGTCTAAGCGAGGGTCCTGTTAGACTGGTGCAGCTCAGGATACCTCCTCCTTCCCACCCAGCTCAGGAATGGTGCTTGAGCTGAACGATGTCTTCCGCTGTGGCTTGGTACTCGGTATTTATGGTACTGTCATAGGAGATCCTTGTGAATCCCCATGTAGCACAAACCTGGCCCTCCATAGCTCCCAGACCAGGACCTTTCTCTCCAGTGTTGTCCCACTTTCTCCCTCTCATGGCACTGAGCTGGGCAGGGGGTGCTGGACCTGCCCTGCCATGGGCTGGCCACCGTGCAGACCATCTCCTTTCTCACTCCAGTTTTATCTATCCAGTGCTGCCTGTCCCATCCAGCTCCTCTCTTTGAGCCTGATCCTTGCTCCCTGCAAGGCGTGAATCCCTGTGTGGAGCGGGGACCAGCAGAGTGCCAGGGAGAGGGAGGAGGAGGAGGTGTCCCCTCTCTGTAGGAGTAGGGTGTTAGTTGTCCCCTGGGCATCTCTGTCACGATGCCACCTCTGGTGTCCAGTGCCTGGTTTGCCTTTTTATGAGGAGGATCTCCTGTCTGTAGGGGTAATAAAGTGGGGTGAACTATTTAATTTACCCGTCTGTCTCTGCCTAAGTCAGCCCAGCTGCTGCTGTGAGTCCTGACGTTCCCAACTGCCCTGTCCCATGGGATGTGAGGGAGCTGAGGCTGCACAACCATGGCCTGAGCATGGGGACCATGGGAGTCTCTGCTCCAGGCCTTGTTCCCATGCCCTTTCCCATCCCCTCTGGGCTTTCCTGTGCTCTGGGGTGACTCCTTCCCGCAGGGGCAGCCAGAGGGGACCTTGATGGCACAGTGTGCTGTGACACACATCCCCCTGCCCTGCGCCCAGGGTGGCAGCACCCACTTGGTGCTGAGTGGTGCTGAGGGCAGCCACGAGCCCCAGACAGGGCAAGGAGAGGGGTGATCACCACCCTTGGTTCCCATCCGTGCCTTTGCTTGGATGCAGAGCCCAGGAGGACTTCCAAAGGGAGGAGAGAGTCATTGTCCCCCTCAATGCCACACTGTGGAGCAGAGAGCTCTTGACCTGCCCTGCCTTGCTGCCGCCCTGCCCTGACCATGCTGCTGCTGGGTCCCTGATGGGGCTGGCCCATGCCTGACCCTCACCTGGGTGTCTGGGCTGTGTCCTCCTGGGCAGCCTAAACCATGAGGGCACCACAGCAGTGGTGGTCCTGGACTCACGAGACCTGGGTTTGTGGCCAGGTCTGTAAGTCGGTGCTGGCTGATGCGGGTGAACATCTTCCCTTCTCTTTAATCTCTGTTCCCATTAGGTCTGAGTTTGTGCAGATAAGCGAGCGCTCCTCCAGGGCTCTCCTCACATCTGGAAACTGCTGGCGAACTGGGACCAGGTCTCTGCTGTCCCCAGCCAGGGCAGCACCTTGACCCAGCCCCTCCATGCTTGAGGTTGTCAAACCCAAATGTGACACCGTGTACTCAGCACTCATGTCCCCGGGCATGACACAGGGTCCCCGCTGCTGGAGCCTGGTGATGGGGGCTGTTAAGGGAAGCGGGGTGTGCTTGCTTCCCCCCATGGGCTTGTCCAGCTCCCGAGTTGCCCAGGGGATGCAGGATCCCATCCTTTGCGTCCTTGGCCACGCGGTTTGGGAAGGATCCAGCCGCTCAGGTCTATTTGTAGTTTCTCTCTCTTCTCCTGCCCAGCTCCATGCCCTTCTCACGCCCTCGCAGGCTGGGCTGCGTGCCCAGCTGCCCCTCAGAGAAGGGCCGCTCTCCCAGCAGAGCAATTAGCCCAAACGCCAGCAGGAACAGCCACATCTCGGGCTCTCAGCCTGTACATTTTGTGCTTTTGCTTTTCTTCCCTGCCCGGGGTGGTTTGTAGCAGCTCCATGTTTGCTGTCAGCCCCTCAGCGCTGCACCCACTGCCCTGCGCTGCCCTGCTCTTGCTGGTGCAAATCCCAGGGAGGTGAACCAGGGATGTGATGGCCTGGAGGGGAACCTGGGTCCTGGGGCTGGCCCTCACCAGGATGGGGAGCTGGGCCATGCAGGGCTGTCTTGGGGTGCATGGTGTGTGTCAGACCTGTGAAGCTGGGGAAGGGTTTAGGGCACAAGAATTATGGGGAGCAATTGAGGGAGCTGGGGTTTATTCTGAAAAGAATGAAAGGAGACAAGGAGAAAAGGAGACAGGAGAGATCTTATCGCCCTTTACAACTCCCTGAAAGGAGAGGGTAGTGAGGTGGGGGTTGGTCTCTTCTCCTTGGTAGCTGTGACAGGACATGGGGTAATGGCCTCAAGTTGTGCCAGGGGAGGTTTAAGTTCAATATTGGGAGGAATTTCTTTACTGTAAGGGCTGTCAAGCACTGGAAGGGGCTGCCCAGGAAGGTGGTGGAGACCCCATCCCTGGAGGCGTTTAAAAAGTGAGGAGATGTTGTGCTCAGGAACATGGTCCAGTGGTGGACTTAGGGCTGGTTCGATGGTTGGACTCTGATCTTAAAGGTCTTTTCCAACCAAAACCATCCTATGATTCTATGAACTGGTACCCAGCACCTCTCATGCATCCCCTCAGTCCCTGGTTGCTGAGTTCTCCTGCCCCACACCAACGATGGGGCAAAGATCCACCCCTGGGACTGCCCCTCCTCAGCAGGGGCTGAGCCTCTGCCCCACCACCCCATCTGGTTCCTGGGGTGCACTGGGGCTGTGCCAGGTACCCCAAACTTCTCCAACATGAAGAGAACAAAGCACAGCGTCCTGGCTCTGCTCCTGTGTCCTGCCAGGCCCGAGGGCTCCCTGTGGCTGCGACCCTGGGGTGCTGAGGTGCTCCCCGCTGCGGCGCAGCCTCTGCCAAGGCACGGCTGATTGCAGCCAGATGCTCCATCCTGGGGAGACCCAATGTGACCGGGAGGGGTGGGGCTCCCAAAATTC